CGTCCTCAGCAAGTTCTCATTTTTAAAGGACTTTTGCATAGACAAACCATTCCATCTCCTCCCTTCTTTTGGCAAAGGTGTTGGTGAGACGTTCTTAGCTCTATTTAGTCAAATCAGATTTCCCAGCAATAGTATCAGGAGGTCCTAGGAAAGGAGGCAACATTGTGTTCTGCCCGTTTGAGCCAGTTCAAGGGTTTTTAACTTGGATCCTACTTCTGCTGTCATGCCTGGTCTCCTTGCGCCCGAGTCAGTTAGGTTCCCTCAATATGTTACAGGTGGGTAGAGTCTCTGGGAGTCGCCCTTTCCTGGCTCCTGACTCCTGCTCTGGAGCCATCGCCCATAGTGTGTGTGCTGCTAACCAAAGGTCTGTGGCTCTCTGGTGGTTCGAACCCACCAGTGGCTCCAAGGAAGAAAAACAAGCAGTCGTCTCCTGCTAAGATTTACAGCCTCAGAAACCCAATGTCAGCTGTGAGCAGTTCTCACCACTCAACAACTGTGAATTGTCATTGCTTTGCTTCTCATGCAGGCTTCTTGAGCCAGCTCGTTTTCAGTCCTTAATCCTAAAGCCTATCCCAAGGGAAAAACATTATTACTGCTTAACTTTCTCAACCCTAGGCCTTGCAGACAGTGGCCCCATGGAAGTTCTGTGTTATGTTTAACCTAAACGCCTCTTGCTATGCAGAAGCTCCAGGTTATGTCTAACTTAAATAGCTCTTGCTAATAGGGACAGAAGGGTAGAGTGAGGTCTAGAGACAGGAACTCGGGCCAAAATAACCCCCAGAGGTTAGCAGGACGCACTAGCCGTTCTAGATGCAGAAAGTAGTTGGCCGGGACTCCCTTTCAGATAAGCACGAAGGAGGCAGCTCTGCTGTGTGCCGAGGAGATGGGCTCAACAGAAATCCCAGCCCTGGGAGAACTCTGGGCTCCTTCTCCTTTTAAGGCAACGTCTGAGCTCTCCAGCCTCACGAGCCCCAGCAAGCCCCAGCCCCACTCATTCCTGGCTATTTGGAGGAAACTGGTGATTAATCAGTCCTTTCCCCCACCCCCAGCCTGTTTTTCATTAGGTTCTTTTTAAAGGGTTGGCACCTCTCCTCAAGGACAGACACAGGACAGAACCAAACCAACTCGGACCTCAGGGTAGGGGAGTGCCCAGGAATGAGTGGGAGGAGTCCTGAATGAAGACAAGGGACCTAGTGTCAAGGCAGAGAGAGGGTTAAAATATGGGGAAACACAGTGGTTTGTGGGGGTGGGGAGGGTTGAGGTTCTGACTTGGAATCCCACATGTAAAACAGCTGGTTGGACTGGGCTGGGAGGAGGTGAGGTGGGAGACCCAGTGCCCGGAAGGATATGGGACAGTGGGAAAATCAGACAAAGTTACAGGGATGTGATGGGCAATGGTGAGACATACCAGAAATTGAACTTCCTGAACTTGCTGTGTGAGGTTGGTTATAATCTCACTGGATCCTCAATTTCCCTCAAACCGAGGCTTAGAAACAAAAGAGAATTCCACGGAGAGTTCTGGGCAGGGCACAGTGGAGCTGTGAGAAACCCTGAAATTTGCATGTTCGGGGTAAGGATAGGCTAGGCACCGATAAGGTGGTTCTGTCCAGCTCTCACCTCTAGATTTCTAGAGTAGAAAGAGCTTGTGAGGAAACCACTTAACTTGGGGAATGGAGGAGAGAATTCCTTAGTCAAAGTATGAGCCAATCATAAGAGTGCGCTGAAGGGGTGAAGTGTACACATGGTTAATGCCCTCAGTTATTAATGGAAAGACTTTCAGTTCAAGCTCTCCAGAGGCACCTCAGAAAAAAGATCTGGTGATCTACATCCCAAAACTTAGCTACTGACACTAAGTTCTGACCACTTAGCTGTTGACCCGACACACCCAGGGTCATCACGAGTCAGGATCAACTCAACAGCAAGTGGGTAAGAGGACACTGGTGGCTCAGTGGTAGAATTCTTGCCAAGTGTAGAGTTCAGGAGACCCTGGTTTGATTCCTGGACAGTGCTCTTTGTCAGCAGAAGTTTGTATGTTGCTGTGATGCCGAACAAGCTTCAGTAGAGCTTCCAGAAAGACTAAGATGAATTGGGAAGAAAGGTTTAGTAGCCTCCTTCTGACAACCAGCCAGTGAAAGCTCTCTGGTTTTCACAAAAGTTTCATCCTGTTGGGCATGGGGTCCCCATAAGTTTGAGAGTCCCCTTAATGACAACTGACAACAGCAAAAGGACTGAGCCATTACAGTTTACATTTCCTTTCTACAGTCTATTTGCACATTGCTCTTGTCATTTTCCTTCCAAAGGAAGGAACAGGACTGGTTACCTCCACTTTGGCTTCTGGTGGCCTCGTGGGTAAGAAATGTACTGCCAACCTAGAGACAAGCTGTTCGAATTCACTAGCTGCTTCACTGGAGATAGAAGAGCAATCTCCTCCCATGTGATTTACAGCCTCTGAAAACATTGAGTTGAGCTCAACTTTACCTCCAGCTCTGAGGGTCATGCCCAGTTCCCTGGCAGCCAACCCTCACGAGGGGACTTCAGCACTCCGTTGAGTCCCCAGGGCTGGAGTTGGGGCTCAGGACCCCGGGTTTAGGAGGAGGGAAGGAGCACATTCCAAGGCCCTGTCTCACCAGGCCTTGTGTCTCTTGGCTATATGCTGTGATTCTAGCCAAGAAGCCAAGGACTTGCACTGCTAAATAAACCCAGGGTCTAGTCCCCAAAGGCATGAGTTTGTAATGAAGGTACAAACTGTTTCCATAGGACCAGCTTTACTCCCCATTCCCTCATGGAGGTGGAGGGGTATGCAGGGCAGGAGAGAGATATAGGGCCCAGCGAGGGATATAGAAAGCTGCTCTCCTTTACCTCTTACCCTTCTTTCCACCACTGAGCTGGGCGCTCTTAAAAGACAGAAAATCCTCCAACACGTGAGCTGTCATCTCTTCCTATTGAAAGTCTTGCAGGAGAGGATATGCCAGCATCCCCTGAGGCCCTACTCGCTCTGAGATCCTTGTCCAGTTGGACAGATAAATCTAACATCTAATCTCAGAGGACCCTGCCACTCCCGTGCCAGACCTGCTCTTCTGACGGGAGTTCTCAGCAAGGCCTCAGGTTTAGTTAACTGTGGAGCGTGAGCTGGGGCCCTATGAAGAGGCTGCATCTGTGCTGCTCCCCTGACCCCGCCCACAGCCGCTCTGAACAACTGCTCAGATCTGTGTGGACAGCACAGAGCTGCAGAATCGTAGGTCCTGAATCTGAGTCCTCCAGGAGTTAGCTGGTCCAGGGGTCTCCAGGGCTTCCCCCAGAGAGATGTAAAGCTTTTACCAGGGAAAAATAAGGCGTCTGTAATGACTTCACATTGGATGTAAGGGTGTGTCCTTTATTCTGTGATGTCTCCTGACTTCTTCCTTGGCTTAGTTTGGTTGTCACTGGCTGTCCTGAAGTCAACCGGGAACAGTGACCCCATTCACAGTAGGATAAGATGCTGCTGGTCCTCATCATCCTCACAACCATTGTGATCCATACGGTATCCATTGATTGACCTTTGAAAGCAGATAGCCAGCCCTTTCTTCCTGGTTTGTCTTACCTGGAACCTCCACTAGAACTTGGTCAGCATATTGGTGGCACATAAACCTTCCCTGACAACGAGGTAGCAGCTGCATTTGAGGTGCATTAGCTAGAAATTAAACCCCAGACTCCCTCATGGAATGGGTTCTACCACTGAACCCCACTACCCCTGGTAGTGGTAGGAAGAATCCATAAATACCCTGATTGGTAAAATAAAATGTTAACAACTCTATGTTGGTCTTGTCAATAGTTTGAGAGGGTTTTTTTTTTCAACAATTTATTAAGCTACAAAATCTAGTATCTGGTTAACCGCTGAAGGCACCTGCCTCAAGTGAAAATGTACGAGGGCACCAAAAACTTAAGTCGTCACAGTAACTAATATGTCATTGCTGTATTTGGTAGCCTAGTGGGTAAGGAGTTGGGCTGCTAATCCAAAGGCTGATAGTTTGAATCAAACAGCCACCACCTTCTCTGCGGGAGAAAGATGAGCAATCTCCTCCTGTGTGATTTACAGCTTCCCGCTGGAGGGTCAGCTATGAGTCTTCCACCTTGATGGCAAGGAGGGGTTTGGGTTTTTTTTAAAGAGATATTTTATAAAAATCAAAGGCAATCTCAGTCACACATGGACATATACTGCATGGTGCCACTGTGTAAAACAGGACTGACCTCGGGGTTGGGGGAAGACTGAAAAAGATGGGATAAATAATGGATATTGCATTTAAACAGATGAGGGAGAGAACTGTTTACAAGGGATATGTGATTAGGTATTATAGTCATGACAGGAGTCCAGAATGAAGGCTACACAGTGGAGTGGACCTGGGGGGAGGGATTGTAAACCAATGAAAGAATTTTTCTTTTACTTTTCAAAGACAAGAGTGAACTGGGGGTGGGGAGGAGTGAGCAGGGAGAAAAGTGTAACAATGAATGAATGGAAATCCAAAGTCTCTGTAAATTTTCATTAAAATTAATAATAATAATTAAAAAATTTAAAAAGAAAACAAAAAAATCAAAGGCAGTAAAAATTCCATAAGAGATAAAGTATCAAAAGCTTAAATAAGGACAGAATCGGTATTACTGATTTCCTCTTTTGCCTCCAACTCCAGTGTGGCTCAGCAAGGCACTTCTACTAGGATTGTATCTAAATCACCCCTGACAGAGATTGCAGTTCTGGACCCAAGAATCTTCTAGGGAAGTAACTGCCACGCCTCCTCCGATGTTCATTTTAGCCCCACAGATCTGAGGCTTGGAGTCTGGCTCTGGAAGCTGACCCCCTATTATGCTGTCTTCATTAGGTACATCCCTGCCACTCTCCCAAACCCAGACTGTCCTTCAGGGGCACAAAGGCCGTTCTAGAAATGCTCCTGCACCCTCGCCCTCATATGCATACTCTCCTTCTGTCGCCAACTCTTCATGTTTATTTTTCTTTTCTGAATTCTTAGGAAAGCAAGCAAGTGGAGACCAAGACTGATGCCAAGAATGGAGAGGAGAGGGGCAGAGATGCCAGCAAAAAAACCCTGGGCCCTAGACGGGATTCGGACCTTGGGAAGGAGCCAAAAAGGGGTGGCTTGAAGAAAAGCTTCTCTAAAGACAAGGATGAGATGGACGGCAAAAACAACGAGAAGCCCAAGGAGGAGAAGATCATCAGGGGTATTGACAAGGGCCGGGTCAGAGCTGCGGTGGACAAGAAGGAGGCAGGCAAAGATGTCAGAGGGGAGGACAGGGTTGTGGCTACGAAGAAGGAAGAGGAGAAGAGGGGGAGTGGCCAGAACGCAGGCTTGAGCAGAGACAAGGAGAAGAAGGGAGAGGAGCTGAAGGAGACAAGCAAGAAGGAGGATAAAGAGAAGGGAAAGGGCGAGAGTGGGAAGACAGATGCCAAGAAAGAGGACGAGAAGTTGAAAAGAGGAAATGGGAACGCAGAGCTCAAGAGGGAGGATGAGAAGGCCAAGAGAGGCAGTGGGGCCACAGACACCAAAAAAGAGGAGGAGAAGGTCAAGAAGAGCGAGTCCCCGAGCGAGAGCAAGGCCAAGGCCCCGGAGGGAAGCAGTTCTGAGAAAGGCAGCCCCGCCAAGCCTGCCGAAGGCACCGCCAAGCGTGCGGAAGGCACCGCCAAGGTGGAGGAGGAGGCTGCCCCCAGCATATTTGATGAGCCGCTGGAGAAAGTGAAGAACAACGACCCGGAGATGATAGAAGTGAATGTCAACAACTCGGACTGCATCACCAACGAGATCCTGGTGCGCTTCACCGAGGCGCTCGAGTTCAACACGGTGGTAAAGGTGTTCGCGCTGGCCAACACTCGCGCCGATGACCACGTGGCCTTCGCCATCGCCATCATGCTGAAAGCCAACAAGACCATCACCAGCCTCAACCTGGACTCCAACCACATCACGGGCAAAGGCATCCTGGCCATCTTCCGGGCCCTGCTGCAGAACAGCACGCTCACCGAGCTCCGCTTCCACAACCAGCGGCACATCTGCGGCGGGAAGACGGAGATGGAGATCGCCAAGCTGCTCAAGGAGAACACCACGCTGCTCAAGCTGGGCTACCACTTCGAGCTGGCCGGGCCCCGGATGACCGTCACCAACTTGCTCAGCCGCAACATGGACAAGCAGCGGCAGAAGCGGCTGCAGGAGCAGAGGCAGGCCCAGGAGGCCAGTGGAGAGAAAAAGGATCGGCTGGAGGTGCCCAAGGTGGGCGCCCTGGCCAAGGGCTCCCCTAAGCCGTCACCCCAGCCCTCTCCCAAGCCCTCACCAAAGAACTCACCCAAGAAAGGGGGTGCTCCAGCGGCCCCACCGCCGCCGCCACCTCCTCTGGCCCCACCCCTGATCATGGAGAATCTGAAGAACTCACTCTCACCAGCTACCCAGAGGAAGATGGGAGACAAAGTCCTCCCTGCCCAGGAGAAGAACTCACGCGACCAGCTACTGGCCGCCATCCGCTCCAGCAACCTCAAGCAGCTCAAGAAGGTAAGTAGCTGTGGGCATGGGCCAACGGGGCTACGGCTGGGTGGGGGCTTGGAGGAGAAGACAGGGCTGCCAAGAGGAAGGAAGGCTGCACAGGGAGTTCGACAGACTCCCAGATGCCAGGGGACTTCAGATCATCTCATCCAGCCCCCTGTTTCCAGGCAGGAGTCCTTACATCTCCTTTTGAGCTGAGACTCCATCCCTCCTTCAAGGAGCTTCCTTCAGCATCTCACTTCACACTTCTCACTACACCTCCCACCCCCCATCCTGCAGTTAAAACTGTCCAGAGATGGAGAAGGCCATCGTCCTTCAGCAATTCTGCCTCCAGTCTTTCTTTTAAAGTCTCTTCTTCCGCACTATGGCCTTTGTTTTACACAGATCAGCCAAGTCCATTTATCCCAAAGAACTCTGGGAGCTTTACGCCTTTGGAGAGCCCTCCCTTTGCATCTTTGGAGCTCGGGTGGTGTAAATGGTACACAGTACCAGGTCTGTAGAGAGCTGCACTGCCAGACAAAAGGCCATGCCTCTCTAGCCATTAGAATCCATGTCAGCACCTCTTTGGGACAAAGATGGGCAATCTCCTTCTCTGAGATTTACAGCCTTCAGAAACCCACTGAAGAGTCAGCTAGGAGTGGGTTCTAGCCCGACAGCAATGACTGACTGACTTTGACTAACGAGTGTCGTGAGCTCATAAGCTACTTCCTAGCAACCCCTGTCTAGGACACAAAGCCATGCCCACATGCCCATCTGACTGGGAGGAGGCAGCCAACCCTAACTCCACAGCACAATCTGGGACTAGATTCCAGGAGAGATTACCATCCCAATTGTAATGCCAGTGGTCATTTGATGCTATCCAATTTTTACAGAAAAACAATAATAATCCATCTGTGTTAGCACCTCATTTATGAACTCTGCAGTCATATGAAAATAGTGATATTATATGTCATCGAGTTGGGCCTGACTCATAGCTAACCCTCCAGCAGGTTTTCAGAGGCAGTTAATCACACAGGAATTGATTGTCCATCCTCCCACATAGCAGCTGGTGGATTCGAACCACAGCCCACTAGGCCACCAGAGCTCCCCAATATCAAGGTATCGGGAATATAATCCTCTCAGAAAGAAAGTAGGGGAGATGCATTCCAGAGACCCCTGCCAAGGTCCCTTTCCTAACCCGTCTCTGCTTTGTTCCTACAGGTGGAAGTGCCTAAATTGCTTCAGTAAGACCTGGCCTCACCTCCCAGGGCTACACAGACCCCGCCCGCCCACTCCCACCCGACCTGTTGACCTGTTGTGGATGTTCTTTGTCCTCCACGGGAGAGCTTGAGGCCTGGGCCATGCTCAAGAAGGAGGCCTTATCCCTTCTCACTTTCCTTTTCTTGTCTCTGAGGCTCTCCCCAAATTTTCTTTTACTTGGAGCTGAGGTTTCTGGACAAGAAGGGTCCTGTTGACACGTCACTGAGAAGATGGCCCTGTCCTGGGCCCAGGTCGCTGGCAAGCCGTGGACGGAGAGATCCAGCAAAGATATCCCACAGGGACCACATAAGCACCCCAGCCCCACAGACCTCCTGGGCCAGGATTCAGACCTCTGAGGAGCCCTTGGGGCAAAGCTGCTGGGCCGTGGCACTCTGTGTGGGGAAATGGCAGAGAAACTGAGAGAGTTTGGGACCTCAGGAGGTGGGGAGGGCTGAGGCTTCCCCCAAACCCTTCCCTCTATGAGCCTAGGCTAAGCAGAGGCCATGGGAGGGGCGGCTCCCTGGATGGACAGTTCTTGACAGAGTGTGGGCTCCAGAGGGGAGGTCTGTGACCGGCAGTTGCTGGACCTGAAGGTTTGATGCCAAAGCAAACATTTTCCTCACACCCATCTGCTGTTGTATAAATAGCTGTGTATCTGTTTTTCCATAAGATTTTATAATATATACAAACCTAGCTGTGAATGGCTGTGGCCACCTTCCTTCTGCACCCGGGGCCCTGTGGCTCACCCTTGCTGTCTGGGAGTCACCAGCTGGAGTCATTCTCGGGGATGGTGAGGCCAAGCAGAGCCGAGGGCCCTGAGATGGCTATATTAGGAATGCTCAGGAGATGCTTGGTCCATGACTCTTCCTAACTGTGGGCTCGGGGCCAGCTCCCCACAGCATCATAAGCCCCAAAAGACAGCCATCACTGAGCAGGCAGAGAAGTGGAGTGACTGTCTGTGGAACAGCACCCACATGGGTGTGGGCTGGTCACTCCTAACCCTCTCCCTACACCCCAAGTTCAATCTCTGCCTAAGTTGCAGGCCATCCATCAAGGTCCCTACTCCACCATCACGTATAATCAAAGGCATCTTTCTGACTTCTCTTGGCTTGAAGTTGCTGACCCACCTTGGCACTATGGAGTTGCCACCTTGGACCTGAGCCACAGAGTCTTTTCTGTTTCCTGGTCTTGTTTCGATGACAAGGAGCACAGTAGTTTCAGTATCTGTGGGATGAGAATGAAGATGGAGGAGTGTCTCCACTACAAAGCCAAATCCCTGAGCTAGGGCAGGCTGGGCTCAGATCCCAAGGTTCACCCCACCCCTGCTCCCCTCTTCTTGCTTTTCCTCCAATTACATAAGCAAAGGCTGGACCCAGGAGGGGGAAGACAAACACCTGTTGGCTCCCAGACTTCAAAGGCTTTTAGCTAAACTCTCATACTCTAACCAAAAGGTTGGCAGTTCAAACTCATGCAACAGTTCCTCAGCAGAAATATCTAGGGATGAGCTTTCGTACAGATTAAAACTCTCATTGCTGTCGAGTTGGAACTGACATGGATAGAATGTAAATCCCACAGAGATTGTCCATATTTCTCTCATGGACCACCAGATGGATTCAAACAACTGCTTTTGGGTTTGTAGCCAATTTCTTACCCATTCACCCACTAGGCTGTTTCATGGTGTCATTATGAGTATTGAATATACCATGGACCATTTATGATGCTGTTTCATGGGGTCATTATGAGTCAAATCAACTGAATGGTACACAACAGCAAGCCCAGCCAAAGCCTCCATTGACTGTGTGCTTCTAGCTACATGATTTATGTAATTGTGCGAATCCTTACAACTCTGTGAAGTGGAACCAACAGACCCCATTTCACAGGCAAAGTCTGGCTCAGAGAGCTTAACTGCGGCCAGGCAGTAAATAAAAGGCAGAGCTTCAGGTCTTTAGCTGCTTGAGCTGCTTCAGGTAACACATTCCCACTGACCCTTTATTGAAATCAGACTGTTGACCATGCCTCAGGACAACAATGGGAGCCAAAATCCCAACCTCCAAATCTTAAGGCTCCACTGCAACCTGTCACCTTGCTGTTTGTTGTTATGTGCTGTCAAGTCACTGTGACTCATAGCGACAATATGTACAACAGCTCTGAACCATGCTCTATCCTGAGCAATCTAATCTCATTGTCTCTGACACTCCTTCTCCCATTACCCCAGTCACTAATCAGTCTACCTCATTGAGGGTCTTCCCCTCCACCCTCCCAAGCATGATGTCCCTCTCCAAGGACCTGTCCCTCCTTACAACATGTCCAGAGTACGTCAGACGAAACCCCAGAATCCTTGCCTCCCCAGGACGAGTTTGTTTGTTCTCCTGGCAGTCCATGGTATAGTCAATACTCTTCACCAGCACCACAGCTCAAAGTCATCAATTCTCTTTCTATCTTCCCTAGTCATTGTCCAGCTCTCTGTCATCTTAGGAGGCCCTTTTCACTCTGTCCTAGAAGGTCACTATGAGTTAGAATCCATGGCAGTGGGCATGGAGTTTTTTATTTACTATTCTCCAGAAAAAAAGGAACAAAGGGCTGAAAGCACCACAGATTGTGAGGCGGGGGCATCATCTGGCAGCGTTTCCTTGCGTCACTACGAGAAGAAGCTGCCCTTACTCTCTTGGCAGGTTCTGGCCCCGGATGCTGTTGTCATCCCTTTGAACCTGATTTCACTGGGATGCAGGCTTTTCTGTGTAGGGGTGTTGGGCTCCCCGGGAAGGCTGCCTTACTTTCAAGGAAGGAGCCTAGAAAGAGGGCATCTGGCTCTCCAGAGTGCCTCGCCCTCTGGAGACTGACCGAACCGCAGGTTCACCCACTGTTGGATCTCCACTGTGGCCAGAAGTTGTTATGCACCCTCCCGCGGGTTTTCGGAGGCAGTAAATCCCACAGGAGATTGCTCATCCTTTTCCCACACAGCACCTGGTGGATTTGAAACACAGGCCTTTGTTCGAGTTAGCAACACTTACCACTAGACCACCAGATCGCCGAGAAGCCTGAAGGAATGGGGAGTGAAGCGGTCCCCATCCCACAAGGGGTCCAGTACGTTTGTCTCCCACCCCAACCTGCTTGTGGCCAGAAGCTGTGCCAGCCTCACCCTACTGCTGCAGGTGGGGGAAGAGGTGGGGTGCACACCCCCCACGACTTCAGCTGGGCAGAGGAGGGTGCTAGATGAAAGGAAACTGCACTGCTGCCAGGCCTGGTACCCTCCAGCGCCGGCCCTACCCCCTGGCAGTGGTCACCTGTCTACAGGGCTTTCCTTCCCAAAACTCTAGAGTGAGGCGTGGAAAGAGTGTGGAAAGAATCTAGTGTGTCCTCCCGCACACACTTTTTCGTAAAGGGGGAAGGATGTAGTTCCTCTGAGACAAATGAAACTGAGAAACTAAATCTGGAGTTTGGGGGAGCTCTGGTGGCCTAGTGGCAAGAAGCTGCACTGCAATCCCAGAGGAACGCGGTTCAAATCCACCAGATGCTCTGCCGGAGAAGGAGGCGCAATATCCTCCTGTACCAATCAGATCTGATTTGACGGTACACGCACACACACACACAAAAAAAAAAATCTGGAGTTTGAGGTCTTTTGCCCACACTGAGTGAAGGGAGGGCCTGACCTCCACAGCGCCCACCTGCAACCTCCACCCGAGTGCCCCCAGGCCACCCTTCCCAACCCTCCCTGTATTACCTCGCCGGTAATAAGGGGTCAGTTATTAAGGAGTGAGGGACAGCTCGCCCTTCTCCCCTGTGGGCTGCGGGGCCAGCCTGCATCTGATCACATCTCAGACTTCTCACAGTCCACTCTCCTGCAGTCCCCCCACCTTCCTCACTTTCCAGGGGACACCAGGGTTAGGAACCTGGTCCTGGCACCTGGACCCGTGGGCGAGATGGCTGGTGCCAGGGGCTGCTGAGACCATGTCTGACTTCCCACTGCAAGAGTTGGAGGTGGCGAGAATCGTGGGGTTGTCAGCCAGGCATTGAGTTGAGACATTAGCCGCTTGAAGAGGTCTGTGAGGTGGAGGGTGTCACCCCCACCTGGAGTATGTCACAGGGACCCCAAGCCCCTTGAACCATCACCCATTCAACACCCTTCCCTCCTCCACTTCCAGGACAAGGTCACAGGTCCTTGGCTCCCTGTTGCTGTCTCCTCTCACTTCCAATCCCACCACTCCACCCTCTCACTGCTTGTCTGAAGCCCCCTCTCTGCCTCTACTACTTCATTCTTCTTACAAACCCTTTTCCCCGTGGCATCTCTCCTTTTCCTTTCTAACCTTTCCCTGTAGCCCCAATTATATTTCCTTGTGTCCCTAACCTTTCCCTATGACCCTAATTCTATTCTCCTGCGTCCCCACCCTGGCTGTCTCCTTACATCAGCACTCCTACAAACCCTCCCCCCTTTAGCTCTTCCTCCCACCCCTCATGCCTGGATAGGCCCCCAAAATGCAGTTCATGTGTTTGTGTAAGAAAAAAAAATTCCTCTGCTCCATCTAGGCCTCTCAGATGCTCCCCATCCCCACCCTGCATGATACTCAATGTTCTCTCTCAGCCCAGCAAGATCTCACTTACCCAGGTGGGCTCCCCTAAACATTGAGGGCCACTGTCCCCTAGTACTCCACACAACTGCCCTTGTAGGGTATCTGATTGGTCTCAGAGGAATTTGAGGAAAAAGGTAACTCAAGGAGCAGATACAGCTCTGTACATCCTCTGATCTTATGAGTCTGCTCTTGACCCTCTGGGGACCAGCCTATGGGAGAGGGTCAGAGGAGGTCACAGTGCTGTGGGAGGGATTCAGGAACGTTGCCTCAACTAGGAGTGGGTGCCAACTAGACGGTACATCACAACATGAGCTTAGAGCTTCAAACCCACACCGTGGCATTGCAGAAACAAGAGCCGACAATCTCCTTCAGTGAAGATTTCAGCCAAGAAAACCCAGCAGAGCATAGTTCCAGTTTATAAGACCTGGGGTCACCTTCTGGTTTGGTTTTGTTTTTTTCACATCAGATGGGTAGTGTGTCCATATCGTAATAAGGTTTAAAGGGTGGCACATATACAGAAGTATGAAGTCCCAATCATCACGCTTATGAACTGGAAAAGGATCACCATCTGTTGAAATCTACTCAACGGGCATCCAGTTTGCTTTTGATGTTGGTACTTAAGAGAAAGGGAGGTGCCTACGATGGTCAAGGAGGCCTGACCCCTAGTGGGAAACCTCGGTAATACAAATGAGCATCCCCCGCCCTGGCCAAATTCATCATCTCCCAGAACCCTCAGCTTGGGATGGTGGTGCCTGTGGATGTGGGTACGCTGACGCGCCAGCCCGGCCACCTGCATTCAGTGCCTTTTCTGGGGAGGGGGAGCCGCATCAGTCTGGCTGTGCTGCTAAGTGTGGATGGGCCCAGTGAAAAGTCAGACAAGTTACATCTTAACAGCTTTAATCCAGCAGGCCAGAGCCCTGGCCAGTGGGGCAGCCAGAGAGGTGGGCTACTGTCAGCTTCTGATGGAGCCTTCCCATGCCCCCATCCCATCCCATTCCAGAGTATGCAGGCAGGATGGGTGCCCACCCTCCTGGCAAGGTTTGGGAACAGAGGGACTATTTGAAAGCAGGGGCTGTGAGCCAGGCAATCATCGCTCCCTTATCCCCCAATAAAAATAAGTTCACCAGTCCCAAACCCTCCCCACCCACCCCTTAATTATGGCCTGGTTCCAGCTCATTTTCCTGTTCCATTTCCCTGAGGCTCTGTCCCTTTTGGGACCCAGGGCTTGGCTTAGTCTACGGCCTGATGGCCAGAGGACCCTTGCCCACCCCCAGGGTCAGACGCAAGTACAGGATGGGGGCATCTCCCCGGGTTGGTGTCCCAAAGGGACAGTAGAGACACTGCCAGTTCCTCAGGCTCCAGGGTAGGAAGGCTGTGGTGGCATATACGGAGGCGGAGCTGAAAGCCAAGAAAACAAGTGAGGGTCAGCAGTTGGACAAGGAGATGAGAAACGCCCCTGCCCTCCCCTCTACCCCCTTTTCAGGAGGTAGAATCCATAAGGGCAGGCCCTTCCGGCTCCAGCTGGAGCAGTCGAGGAGCAGGTGGTCTCAGAGGATGGGGTGGAGAGAAGGCAGGGACCAGGGCTCTAGAGGGCTCCCTTACCTGCAGGGTTGTAGATGGGAGGGCCAGCAGGATAGAATGGATACTGTGGAGCAGGACCACTAGGTGGGTACATGAAGCCAGGCTGTGGGGGTGCAGGGCCAGCTTTGGGGTCCTGGGGGTACGGGTACATTGGCTGCACTGGGATGCCTGTCATGGGAATCTCTTGGCCTAGGCAGGGGGACAAGGATGGGCACTCAGAGCTCCATCTCCTTGCAGGGAACTTCCTCCTCCTCCTCAGGAAACCAAAGCAAACACTCTGGGGCCGCTGGCCTCGAGCCAACCCCAGGCTGACCACCTGCTGCCTTCGCCTCCCTGTCCCTGTGGATAGGACTCAGCACGAAGCCGTGCAGGTGGCCCCAGCTGGCCCCTCTGTGGTGAGCACATGTGCTCCTCCCAGCTGCTTTCGGAGACCTCATGAGCCAGAGAGCACAGCCTGGGGCATGTCCCACTCGGGCAAGGAGGGGGCAGTTCCAGGTATCTTGTCATTCAGCAGAGCAGCCACCACAGGGGCTCCCCAGTCTTTGTCTCCTATACCCACACTGACATCCTCTTCTGTACAAAGTCTCCATGCCCTACAAGCACCCATCCCATTAGATCTTGCAGAACCCAATTCATATCCCCTGTCTGCATTCCTTGGGTGGAACAGATGTAAGTAGTCAATTACACTAGTTGCAAGGTTGATGGTTCGGGACCACTTAGAGGAGCCTCAGAAGATAGTCCTTGTGCTCTGCTTCCAAAAGGTCACAGTCATGAGAACACTATAGAACAGTTCTGTTTTATACCTATGGAGTAGCCATAATGAGTGAGAATTGACCCAGTGGCAATTGACAGCAAGAGCTATTGACTACCTCTTGCGTACATACAAAGTCATGCACTTTCCAAGCCTCATCGCACATGCATGTACTCAGGCGATTGTGGAAAGTGCCCCCTCAGTGCACATCTGCACATCCAAGTATAAGCACTTTTTTGAACATACAGTCTAAGGTTCAGACACATTCTGGGACAGAATCTAACAGCCAACGGTCTACAAGCACCCTTCTGGGTTTACACATTAGCCTGTGTGTGGAAACAGAAGTACTCCTACTACAGAATTCACAAACTGTGGACCTCTCTGCAGGCTCAGCCCACTTGCCCAGTCCTCCGTGTACCTTCAAACGGGCTCTGCAGCTGCTGGCGCCGGCGGTACAGGTAGCAACAGGAGCAGAGGAAGCAGCAGATGGTGGTGGCAACCACGGCAACGAAGAGGATCACAGCTGAGGCGATGCCTGCTATGGTCTTGGGACTTTGGACAAAGAACAGGTCCTCTCACCTTCCAGCACTGAGAGGAGGGCGTCCTCATTATGGTGGCCAGAAAACTGTGCTCCAACTCGTGGCCAGCAGGGGGCTACAGCATGCTGGGCTCTGACACTCCTTGTGGGGCTCTGGCCGGTGGCTGTCCCTGTGGAGGAGATCTTAGGGGACCTCCACTTCCCAGAGGGCTCTGCTGCCTGACTTAATGTGAGGCATGCTGGGATTTGTAGTGCCCTCCCCCTCCCTCACGGCTCCTACATGGACTTAATTGATTAGACTTAACAACATGTTGGCACTGGGAGGAGCCTTAGGAATCAATAGCCATCTCTTTTCCCAACCCCAATTCCATCAATATAGTTTATTAGCTCTATGAACTTCAAAGGGAGGTTTGAAAACCACACATTTTGTCAACTTCATATTCATGAAGAGGAAACAATGGCCCGTTGAAGGCACAGTACTGAAGAGGATGACACAGTTCATGAGAAGTGGGCCTGGGAATCAAAGCCAATTTTCTTGCCTTCTTACCAGAGCTTTGGGGCTTTGCTCACTGCGGTGTGGGTGTCAATCCCTGACTTCCCTCCACAGGACAGCAGGAACGAGAGGGCTCCAGACAGAGCTCTTAGACCAGCCCAAGCTCAATGGTGGCACTTCCAAGGCCGGCTCTCACCATCCAGCTTCTATCATCGAGCTGGACTCTTGGGTTTCAGGTGGGAGTGTGTGTGGAGGTGGTAGGGAGGCAAGGGGCTGGGGGGCAGGAAAGGACGGCCAGGGAGGCCTCCTGAGAGGAGGAAATGAGCCAAGGGGTGTGGATGAGAAAGCAAGAGGCCCACCTGAAGGCCAGGCAGTGCTTCTGCTGCCTCTCTGTGATGAGCAAGGTCAGGTCTCTGCAGCAGTACCGCTGGTAGCAGGTCCCGCAACAGAAGGTGAAGAACTCGCAGTCAAAGCCTGGATGCCAGGAGCCATTCCGGTCCAGGTACCACAGGCAGTCCTCGCCGGCCAGCGCTGCGAGCAGGGGTGCGGTGCCCAGTGGTCACCGGGCCGGTTCATCTGCAGCCGCCCTAGCCCCACTCTCCAGTGGCCCCCCTGGCCCGCTGCCTCCCAGACAACACTTTGAGGGTGTCAGCCCCCAGCCCCCACGCCCCAGGGTCAGCTTCTACTGACCCCCCACCCCGGGCGCCCCTTTGCTTCTGCGCCCTGCTGACCCCGCAGGATCCGGGGCAAGGGCCACACCACCAAGGCCGAGGCACCTCGGGTCAGCTCGTCTTCCGTCCCCACAACCCCGCCTCGCTCCGCGAGCCCTTACCCAGCGGGGCCCCCAGCACCAGCAAGGCGATGGCAGCGAGCGGCGCGGGCCCGCAGAGCCCCGCCAGGGACATGGTGAGGCTCGGGCGGCCGGGCCCAGGTCAGGAGTCGGGGCCGAGGCACCGAGCGCCTGCGGAGCTGCGCGGGGCCCAGGGCCGCCAGACTCGGGCTGCGCGCCCGCCTCCTCGGGGGTGGGGCCAAGGGCCCGGCCCGCGGTAACCCTGCCTGCGCCGCGCCTCGCTCCGCCCAGCGGGCCACCCACCGGAGACGCCCACCCGGCCTCGTCCAGCCCCATTGTGCCCCGCTCCCGGGTCACCGGCTCCACCGCCCCTCGTCCTGTCCGAGCCGCGGTGGGCAGCGCCGCCCCGCTTCCTTCATGGGCGCAGCCCACGCCAGCCTCGGTCCTGGTGTCATCTCTGAATACTGGGGCGCCCAGGTCCACCCTGGAGGGGCCGAGCAGAGCTTTCCCCTCCGCTCCAGTGTCCAGTGGGGGACGTCCTGCGGGGAGGGAGGGGGCGGCTGGGAGTTACCCTGCCCCCACTCCCAGAACACAGGGACCCATTGAGAGAGGCAGCTCAGAGCGGCTTTGTCCCTAGCGGCGCCCACAGGCCTGCCCCTGCCAGCTGCACTGGCTGCCTGAGATGGCCCCTTCCCCCTTTAAGTGGACAAGGCTGGCACTCACCAGACCACAGCCTTACAGCAAGTGCCGCAGGACGTTGAGGGTACCTGGGGTCCATCCAGGCAGACATCCTTTAAGACGAAATCCTTCTCTGTTCCCGGCACACCTCACATACAGGGCAATCCCGCCGACAGTGTCCCAGGGTTGAGGGAATCAGTTGATCCACGTATACATTTAAATGTACACCCACTAAAGTGTCAGTAACTGCCCTATGCCACCGGGAGTAACTACAGGAGCTTGCTCACCTTTCTCCCTGGGAGCAGTTGGTGTGGATTTGGTCTGCAGTGTAACTCCTTACCACCAGACCACCAAGCTCCCTAATCAAACCATTGTTATTTGCTGTGTACAATAGAGTCTCCAGAGTACTGAAGAGCAACGACGTCAGGCTGTAGACTAAGGTGCGCCTGATCCGGGCTATAGTCTTCGCAATTGTGTGCTATGAATTGGAGAGCTGGACAGTGACTAGGGATGATAGGGAATTGATACCTTTGAGCTATGGTGCTGGAGAAGAGTGTTGAATATACCATGAACTGTCAGGAGAACAAACAGGTTTGTCATGGAGAGGGTGAAGCTGGGCTGCCTCTTGGAGTCAAGGATTCTGAAGCTTCGTCTGACATACTTTGGGCATGTTGCAAGGAGGGGCCAGTCCTTGGAGAGGGACATCATGTTTGGGAGATTGGAGGGACAGGGCAGGAGAGGGAGACCCTTGATGAGATGGATCAATTTGGTGATTAGGATGGTGTGAGTATGTGTGTTGGAAACAGTGAGGTTGGCACAGGATAGAGCAAAGTTTAGGGTTCTTGTACATAGGGTCGCTGTGAGTCGCAAGCGACTCAATGGCATATAACAACAACAACCATACAGTCCAAACCAACCCATAGCTGACCCTCCGAGTGGTTTTAATCTCACGGGAGGAGATTGCCCATCCTTCTCCCACTGAGCCGCTGGTGCTTTTGGGATTGCACTGCACCTTCTTGCCGCTAGGCCACCAGAGCTTCCCTTCAAACTAGAGAGGAAATTAAAACTGTGACTTAATCTCTACCAAGAGAGAGCTCTGCTGGCCTAGTGGCAAGAAACTGCCCTGCTGCAATCCCAAAGGCATAAAGTTCATAGTTTACCAGCTATTCCATGGGAGAAAGAGAGGTAATCTCCTTCCACGCGATTAACTGCCTCTGAAAATCTGCCAGAGAGTCAGCTATGGTTCGGTTTGGACTGGATGGCACACAACAACAATAACAATCTCTATACAGCCTTTTACAAAGCACTAAAACACAGAGGCGCTTCACAAGTCCATGAGTTGGCAGGAGTCATCAGTCTCACTTTATAGACAAGGAGCTAGGAAGGGAGGAGCTTTTCACTGAAGGAAGTGAAAGACTTGCCCAAATAATACAGTAACAAATGGCATACAGAGTAATAAATGCCATGGGCAAGATTAGGACCCAAGTCTTTTAAATCTGTATGGAGCTCCCATCTCTACCCCCAACACTCGATGGAATGGGTAATGGATAATGAGTGTTTCTGGTGTTCTTGGCTGAGGCAATCAAGGCCTGGAACAGAAGGGCCAGTCAAAATCAAATAGGTTGGAGGTGGGTGGCCCAAAGAGAAGTAGCCCCATTCTGGGTCCCCTGTGGGCATGGGCCCACCCAGGCAGGAAAGCTGGAGTAACGGGAAGATCGGTTCCAGCCCAGGAAGTTGGTGGTGGTCTGTTGATTGGTAGGAGTATGTCTTCACACAGGACACAGACATCAGCGTAGCAGCAAAGGGACAGGCAACTCTCAATTTACTACCACCTACACACTGTGTCCTTGCCACCCACTTCCTGTTTTCCTAGACCACAAGCTCCACGTATGCCTGGACTGCGAGGCCATGGACACCAGGGTCCCCGCCCCTGGCAGGAGGGGCTCAATCACTGCCAGTTACCTCAGATGGAGAGCTTTCCTTTCTGTTCAAGGATAAGCATCCCATATATGTTCTTTACCTGGTCTATCTCTTCCGTATCCTTACCTCTCAGTGTCTTTTAGTCTCTCCCTCTGTACAACTTCTACCAGGAAAAAAGAAATCTCCGTGTTTTTTCCTAGCTGCTTTGATACTTTTCTCGTTTTCTCTGACCAGTCTTCCTCCAGGAAGCTCTGGGAGCCCAGATGGTTGGAAGCTGGGTGGCTGATCTAAAAGACCATGCCTCTCAGGCAGTTTCAAATCCAACAGGGGCTCCGTGAGAGAAAGAGGCTCAATACCCTCTGTGCCTTTTAAAGCCTCAGAAGCCCAGTGGAGGGTTAGTTACGAGCTTCGACTGGTTGAGTCGATGAGTTTGGGGTGCTTCTTTCTTTTTTTTTATCTCTCTTCAAAGCCCATGTTCCTGGTTGACATCTCCTGCTCCCCAGGACACCTAGCTCTCACCAACGTTACTAATAATCTTCTAATTGTCAAATTCTGGGAAAATTTTTCAATTCACAGGACAGGAAGTGACTCTTGCCATCATCATTGAGTCAGAATGAGCTCATAGCTGACCCTCCAGCAGGTTTTCTGAGCCTATAAACTGCACGGGAGGAGAGTGTCCACCTTTCACCCATAGAGAAGCTAGTGGCTTTGAACTGGCAGAGAGGCAAGGCCTTTGGGTTAGCAGTGCACCTCCCTATGTACTAGGCTACCAGAGCTTCTTCGGAGATGATTAGGACCAAGAAACAGAGTTTCCTAGAAAGAGGACAAACTAATGTGGGGATTGGCAGAACTGAAAGATGGGACATTTTGTAGCAGGGGATGTTGGAGGTTGGAAACGAGACAGAGAGTCATGGGAACAGACCTGGGACTTGTGAGCCTTGGGAGAGAAGGGTACTGCATGGGGAGGACTGAGAGACCATTAATATGTCCAGATAATGTAAATAAATCTTCATTACTTCTTCTCTCCCTCATCACTCTCTTTAGCTCCCATCTCTTTTTTTTTTTTGAAAATTTTTTTTTAATTTTTGTGTGCATGTACCGTCAAATCAGATCTGACTGGTACAGGAGGAGATTGTCCCTCCTTCCCCGGCAGAGCATCTGGTGGATTCGAACCGTGAGCCACTGGGATTGTAGTTGCAGCTCCTTGCCACTAGGCCACCAGAGCTCCCCTTTAAATTTTTTTTAATTTGTTTTATTTAGCTCCCATCTCTTAAGAAGGAGGAGATGTGTGTGTGTGTGTAAAAGAGAAGGCAGAGAGAGCAATCTGCGACCAGATAGGACAAAGTATCATATTCTCCGCAGGGTATTTGGACTATGATAATAATACTACAAGCTAACACTTACTAACACCATGTAGCAATGTTACAAGCACGTTTACATATATTAATTTCTTTCTCCATCAACTATTGTTATATGCTGTCAAATCAGAACTAGTCCACAGCTGACCCTTAAATGGGTTTTCCAAGGTTGTAAATCACCCTGGAGGAGATTGCCCACTTTTCTCCCACAGAGAGGCTGGTGGATTTGAACCTCGTGTCTTTGGGATGACAGTGTAACTTAACTTCTTACCACTAGACTGTCAGAGATACCTCTTTAAGTATTATGTGAACAACAGATGTGAAACCTGCCCTGTCCTGTGTGACCCTCATCATCTCTCATATACTTGAGCCCATTGCTGCAATCACTATGTAAATTCATTTAATTTTCTTCAGCATCAAGTTAAACTGACACATGAGTAATTGATGGTCTATTCCACAGTCAGCAGCTGACCTGGTTTTGACTGCTGATTTTGAACTCCTCCAATGATTCCACAGACATAGGTTATGTGATTCCTGTGTGATTTCATTAGGTGAGGTCCACGTGTATAGCCACTGTTCGTGGTTTTTTTAAAAGGTATTTGCAATGAATAAATCATTGCTTGTGCAAAACTCATTTGATCTCTAGCCTCATTTTTGTCACCAAGTTCATAAATTCTAACTACCAGACCAACTTCTTTACTTCCAGCTTTTGCATTCCAGTTAACAACAGTTAGTAATGTATCTTTTCTTTTTTTAAAGTAAGGCATCTTGAGTGCATGTTTGATTGATTGACTTCAAAAGTTGGTAGAACGTTCCGATTGAAGAAGCAAGTTTTCCCAGGTCTAGGCTTACACCTGATGGAGGGGACAGATGCCACCCGTGCCATGATATTAGTATGCTAGTTGGTTCTTAGGGGTGAAACACTTATTTGTGAGTTGTTTCAGGAGAATGATTTACCTGTTATTGTTTATTTTGTAGCTTAGGTATATGTGTGATTGTTTACTTCCTGCTCCTATGAGAACAGCACTTGTCTGTCAGTTTGCTGTACTGGAGTGATTTGCAGGTTGCTCTGATTCTGGAAGCTATGTTACTGGTATTTCAAATACCAGCAAGGTCACCTTGTCCACTTGGCCCACTTGAAGTAGACAAGTTTCAGTAGATCTTGCAGACTAAATTTCAGAAATTCAAACTTCAATGATTAGTTATCCCTATTTCTTTGATGAAGTAACTAAGGCACAGATCAAATGGCTTCTCCCAGATCCCACAGCTGGTGGAGCCATCACTTCAATATTAATAACAAAAATAGTAATTACTATCATTCTGAACATTAAGTGTGATCTGATTACTATGTTGGCGGTGTTATCACTG